GACAGAGTACCAGTTCTGTCTAGAAAAAAATGTTCGTAAATATAATCTTGTTTTTAAAAACAATTTGGAGCTAGCGCTCATTTTGCTTTGCGCTCATTGCTTGCTGGGATAGGTTCTGGGAACCCCAAGACCCTGAATTGGAAGAAGCAGTTAGAAAGGGGATGGATGAGTGAAAAGGTGAAGTCTCAATGGCATTTACCATATTTAAAAACGGAGGACAGTGCAAGAATGTTTTTCAGCAGTTTTTGTAGAGAACAAACTATAGGCTCTGGCTCCACCACGATCCTTACTTGGAAGAATCAGTTAGGAAATGGATGGATTTTGAATTAATGAATGGCTTTCACTGATGTTATACCGTAACTCTCCTGATGTTTTTGCTCTCATTTTCATCCTCAGGCTGGCTGGGCAAAAACACTCTTTTGGAAGGTCAACCAGTGGCTGATGATTCACCTGTTTCACTGCCGGATGGTCCTGACCTACTACATGTGGTGGGTTAGCTGGTGCCACTGGGATGCAATGAGACAGCACATTCCTCTGCTTCAGCGCATTATCTTTTTCACTGGCCTGGCGCTCCTCACTGTCATCATCAATCCCATCTGGACACACAAAAAGACAATGCAGCTTCTCAACCCGGTGGACTGGAACTTCGGGAATAAGCCAGCTCCAGTAAATGGCCCAGGCAGCAGCAGAAAACAACATCCATCGAAGAAAAGTGACTAAAATCACACAGTTTCTCCAAAGGTCTTTCCCTGTGCCTAGTCTGTATTCCAAGATGATAAAATATACTAAAACGTGTCACACCACGGTAAAGTGTAGGTATTACAGTGTATTTTGTTGTAAAAAGTAGGGAAAGTAGAATCCAGTGGAAAGGCTCCGGTGGAGTGCAGGTTCTGGAATTAGGGCATTCTCTTGGAAGGAGAGTTCAGGAATGGATTGATAATAATCTGTTTTAAAGCTTTTGTAGCTAACACACTAACCACATTTCTCTTTTATTTTTGTGGTGCTTCAGGTTGCTGGAAGAGTAGTGTTCAGCATAGGAGCCTCTTATTCTTTTCCTGTTATTACTCATTCATTTAACAGTGTTTTGGGGAAAAAAGTGTATCTTATATAAGAGATAGGATAAGATCACTTTATTAGCCATATACAATTTCTTCCATTAGGAATTTGTCTCTTCGCATACTCCAGCTTGCTCTCCATTAGACAGGGAGAGAAGCTTGGGGTCCGAGTGCAGGGTTAGCCATTGTACAACGCCCCTGGAGCTGTTGGGGTTAAGGGCCTTGCTCAGAGGCCCAATGGAGTAGGATTCCTCTGCCGGCTGCGGGATTTGAACCAACAACCTTCCAGTCCCACCCCTCCGCCCATATGTTTACCTTGCATAATGTAAACCAGCTTTATATAGTCAAAACAAATTCCATAATCCATCCCTGCTAATCAACAAAGACAGTTGTATGTTTTGTTTGAAAACCAATTTTAAGTTATTTGTAACTTAATATTTTTATGATCGTGAACCTTGCACTATTATCTTTGCATGTGCCATCTGACTCCCGTGGTCTGGCTGACTTCCAGTTGTAGTCAGAGATAGGTCCAGAAGAAAAAGTGAGAGGATGTCTGTGCGTTGCCTCATTAAATAAGGTCCTGGTCTAAGTGCTGCTCTGATATTGACTGTCTGGTGCATCTCTAGAATGGGCATCCCCTGGATTTAACTTGGCCACCTAGTAAGGAAAAGCTAGCAGCATAAAATTGTTTACAAGCGCCATCTGCTGGTAAAGGTGTAAAGCTGATGCCTCAAAACTGCTTCAACAACCTGTTTATTCTGTTAGTGAGAAATACTTGTAAAAGCCAGTTTGCAGACGTACCGTATGTTGCCATTGGCTTCATCTTACCTGAGTTACATATTTCAAAAACCTTTGATTATAAGTATAGTTTGTGAATTAAGTTATTGTATGTATTGTATGTATGTAGTGCCTCTCTACTAAATATTGTTAAGCTTTGGACTTTGATGCATTGCATTAACATTGTAATTGTTTCAGGGTCAAAATGAATGGGCTTATTGTTCTCTGTGTCTTTAAAGGAGGTAGTCTCGCTGCACTTACTGTACTTACGTTAATGTATAGTACGTTGTAATTATCACTTAATGGTGTGTGGTAAGTTTGAGTTTTTAATGGACAATAGTGCTTGTCTTCGTTGAGGCTTCAAAGGCGGAACTCTTCTTTCGAAGACAAAGCAATCAAAATATAACTTGAACCATACTGAACTTTTCTTGGATGTTCCTGTACAGCATGTTATATAACATCAACGTCCTCCAGAAACCATTACACAGCTTGTTGCTGGCAGGATAGAAAAGTACAGGCGAGAAATGGAAGAATTTATCAGGTCTTTGCTTTGAAGCTTTATTTGTTGTGTGGTTCGTGCTGCAGCTTGTGGTGTGCCACAAACATTTTCAAGTAGGGAGCTGTGTTGGCGTGTTTGGGTAAAGGTTAAAGGTTAATTCCACACAAAAAATAGAAAAGATAAAGCAACATTTTGGATGCAGTCTTCTTCAGATGTGAGAGAGAGAAGTGGTAAAAATAAAGGGGAGCAGAATAAAGAACAAATTCATTCTCACCTTTGTTCTTTGTATTTTATATTCTCACTTCCTTTGTCTCTGGCTCACACCTGAAGAAGGCTCTAGAGCAGAAACGTTGTTTCTCCTTTTTATTTTTCAATGTGGGAAACATAAAAGCAAGTATCTTTTACTTGTTTCTTTACAAGCACATGTTACTGTTTTGCTGATCGGGAAGAAGTAGTCATCTGTTGCAGGGGGTTTTAATGCCCTTTTTGAATTTTATGAACAGTATTTTTCTGGGGCATTTCAGTAAAAATGATTGGTAAATTGATTTTATCAGGTAATTTGTGGGTGAATTACACTGGGATGACCATTGGTTCGTTCAGTTCCTGCATTACTGTAAATATAATGCAAAAATGGCATGGTATACATTAATATATTGTTTTACCTTGTTTTGTTTAACTGAAATCTGTTTCTTGCAGATAATATCATGCATATTTCTGGAGTTTATTCTGTTTGTTCGTGGTCTAGTGAACAGAGCTTCTAATCAGACTTGCTAAGGAGTGTAGGATATTTAGTAAGCTATTTACTCATACATTTACAGGTACTCAAACTGAACAGTCCAGTGGGAATAATCTTCAAACAGGAGCACATGTCCTTGATTTCCTTTTTTTATTCAGATTTGGCTTGTGGTTTTTAGTTTTTTTTTAAAAACAAATTGTTTATTCACACAAACAGGGCAGTCAAAACCACATGAAATGTCAAGAATGTTTGTGGGAAAGAGAACTACTTGGGGAAAAAATACAAAAAGGAGTCGTGAGAATGTAGCTAGTTTGTCTATTTTGCTAACTTTTTTAATGCTTCACTCTCCTGATACGGGTATTGGGAAACATGAGCTACTGCACTGTGTACTGTAGTTATGTTTTCTTAATATTGACGGTGGTAAAGTTAAATAAAACTGGATCATATGTTGGAAACGTTAATGGTGAGAGATAATAATATGTGGTCTTAACAGTTTTTTTTTCTGTTTCTCCTCTTGTTAAAAAGCTACATCGATGAGCAATTGCATATTGAAGAGTCGACAAAACAGCTGCAGGCTAACCTAGAAACAGATTTTTGTGCTTTTTTGCTATGGACAGCTTGCAAGATGCCACTATAACCTTTGAAAGAAAACGAATAATCAATTATTAATATCATATCAATTGTGTTCAGTTCAGAGATGAGAAATGTGCAGTGTGGCCTAACGTGGGGGCTGTGTTGAGTGCAGAGGCGGAGCCCTGGATGAAGGGCGACGCGTGGCATTAGAAGCCGCAGCTGTCGGGGCCCTTTAAGACACACTGAGCACGCCCTGGAGGGACGCGCAGACCGCCCCGCAAGGGGAGACCATTCCCGCGGCAGTCCAGGGATAGAGACGAGAGCGTAAAGCCGTCATTTTCTTTTGATTTTATTTTTATCTCCCCGGGGCTAGATGGGAACAGTCCGGCCTGCAGGCCGCTGCTCAAAGCAGTACATTTTTCTCCCCCCCCCCTCCCTCCGGTTCTCGCTGACCTCACACTGGTGCCTCCGCCCCCTCAGAGTGGGCGTCGACTTTTACCGGTGTTTGCCCTGGCTCCTCCCACTCCTACATTATTCTAATCAACAGTTTAGACTTGAGGAATAAATACTGAGCCAGATTTTTTAAAAAAAAACAATCGTCATTTTATGCACAGTGTGCATAAAACACTTGTATCAAAAAAATAATAATTGAATTGATAAATTTAATCAGTATTCTTCAAAACAAAAATGTTGCACAAGACACCAGAGGCTTTCAGGGGATCTGAAGTTATTGGTTAAAGAGAGAAATGCAAAGGCTGGGCCTCCTATGTATCAGGTGGCTGTAAACATTTTAATAACTGCAGTGTGATAAATGCATCTCCAAATGGAGACAATGAGTCGGACTAATGTGTTCAGCAATTCAAATGTTGACTATTTTCTAACAGTATTGGGTGTCATTCTGATTTATGTAGGATTATAACATTCCTATTATAATAGCTCTGCATTTGCTATTTCTGTTATGGGTTACTTTGTCAGAGTTGTAGTTGAAGTGCTGGGAAAAAGAACTTTAATGTAGGTTATATTAATCAGTTCTTTGGAAACTCACGATTTCACCTTATGGAGTGACAAGGAAAGTGCAGTGTTAATCGGTCTTTTTTTCCCATTTCAATTGTATAAAAAATATGCATTTTGTACTGTAACTAGCAAACTTTGTTGATACTCAAAAGAATTTTATGTTATTGTGAAAAATGATACATGTAATAGAATGTTACCTAAATACCTACCAGTGTATGTTATACTAATTGCTGCATCTAATTAACATTGCAGTGTACCAGAATAATGCAATACACTTTCTCCATTTTAGTTATTGTAAAAACCCTTTTTAATGTAGAATTGTATGCAAATGTTTTGGCACCCTTGGTCAAATTGCATGTTTCACAGAACCTGAAAGTGAAAAGTTAACACAACCTCTGCAGGTTAAACGTGACGTATATCAGCACATTTGTAATGTACAAATACTGTTTATGTGCTGAATTTAACACATACAAAAATAAAATGGTGAATGTGACATTAAAGCTTTAAAACCCCTTAATCAGCGTTAGATAATGAGAATGATTCTTAAAAGGAATGAGCACAGTGTATGCAAAACTAAGCTGCAGTAGATAGGAATTCTTTCAGGAATCTTCATTCATAGGTTTGGGATTCTAGAATTATGTACCCAGTCACATTTTTGATGTTGACAACTTTGCTTCCTTCGGGAAATGTCTGGATGAGATCCTTTGATCAGTCGCCTACTAGCAAATGTGTTCGATGGATCAGATGTCCTCCTCGCATTGGTAACCTTAATTATCTACAGTATGTTCTTAAATACAAATTTACCATAAACTGCTTTGACCTTCATGTATTATGGTGAAGCTGGATAATTCTGTGGCTGGTGTCGATGTCTAAAAGTCTGCGAAATGTATTTTATTTATGTCAACTTCTGAATTGATTTTAACCTTAATTTTTTTTATATAGACTTGAAAGAAAGTACTACATTTTGGAATTTTCTTCCTTTTACACAAAGTATTAATCGCTTACTTGTATATTTAGATTTAATACATTTTGTCATTTGTTTGCCATAGCACAGAGATAACACTCAATAAAAAGCACTGTTTTTACAGTATGATGTAATTTTGTTTGACAACTATTATATACATTTTGTAGTAAAGATGTGCAACACAGGCACAATCACACATGGGATCGCTTCCATTTCCAGGATACCAGTAGCACTATAAAGGTGTTGTGGAACAATCACATTTCAGGTTTAGTAGATGTACTGTATGCCTACAACTTTGCCACCTTTTGATCCTTTGTTCAATAAACTGCTGTCGTTTCTTGAAAGAAGCCAGCGTATCAACTTCAATATCATGGCTGAGTAGCTTGTTTCATACTCCCACACCTCTTGGGCTAAGGAAGTGAGTCCTGTTCTCACTTGTAAAGGTGAAAACCCCTAAACAAAATTAGCATTATTTCCCAAGGTATGGAAAATCACCCAATAAGACTTATTTTTATCCTAACAACACACTGAATCATCATATTAAAACACTATCATTTCTGGTAAGCCTATAGTAGTTAATATAGTAAAGTCATTAAGGTAGTTAAGATAAATAGACAAGATAAGATGGGATTAAAAATCAAGAATGCAGATGCAATGAGGAGCAATGTTGAGGGATGTGGTACTTGGCAGTTATGACATAAGGATGGCATCTTCTTTTCTACTTCAAAAGTTACCCATTTGCTAGAACAATATTATTTTTGAAGTGGTGAGAGGCGGGTATGAAAATGCATGCTTTGTTATGCAACAAATTCTTTAGGTGTTTGAGAACAGGTTTAGTTCCTTCATTCTGTCAGTATGACATTCCCTTAGCCCCCAGAATGTATTTAGTTGCTCTTCTCTGGACTGATTCCAGTGTTAACTTTGATATATTGTGATGAAAAATATTGAACTCAATACAGTATACATACTAAATATGTGTAGCAACATCATTTGCACTAAAGACTAATAGTTAAAACGTTGTGTCTTAACATTTTGTTTGCTATTTTAATGGATTCTTCACATCCTCTGGAATATGTACAGTAAAAAGTCAACATAAACACCAGTCAGCATCCTCTTTCCCAGTGTTTCCTATTTTGTAATTATGTTTTTGATACGTGCATGCACAGTTCTGATCTTGTGTACAATACATGTCATCTGACAAGTGACAACAATTTATCTTTTATAAATGTAATGTAATAGAGTCTCAGAAATGTGGTATTAAAAACTCCTACTGTTCTCTGTCCTCAATCTTAGCCTAACCCATACTGCTATGTTTAACACTATGCCTAGAATTAGTGGTATCTAATTATTTTTACAACTGTTTGTAATGTCAAAGTTTGATCATTTTTGCATGGTTCATTTACAGACCTAAAAAAACAAAGCAGCAGTATACCCTTAAAAATAATTCATAATTAATCCTTCTCTGTTATTTTAAAAAATATGGTTTTCATTAATAGAATAATATAAAAATATTTTATTTTTGAGTGAATAATACAGTATAAATAGTATGAAAAACTATTTTTTTAACTTAGGATATCTCTTCAGGCATAATTTTTTTTTTTAACATTCTCAGTCACAGAACACTTTTAGTGATGCATTTGAAATAAGAAAGTCATAAAACTTCACACAATTAGGGAGCCTATAATTAGTATTCAGTGCATTCTTTTAGAGAAGCCTTGTGCAAAACGTTCATAACTAATGCCTAAAATGGTGAATATCCAGAGTGTATGTATCATTTAAAATATATTTTAAACATGTTGACAAAGTACATTAAATATTAGGGAAAATTAATTTTCACATTTGTTTTTGTCTGAAATAGTAGTATTACTCAGCTAGTGTCCTCGAATACTATCCTCCATTCTACTACCGTATAAAATTAATACTCCGTACACAGTGCATTTGCTCTAATACTTTTTATGCTGCACCCATTGTTGTACTTTCCCTTTTATGTTTAAAATGGAGCTGTTACTGAGACTGAGTTTCTTAAAAGGGGGCTCCCCAACCACAATCATCTGAGAACCCCTAATTAGAGTGTGTAAATGCTGTAAGCACATGGGCTGGCTGTTTGATTTTCTCCCAAAGATGCATTTAGTAATCAAAATCAAGAGGAACACTCCCTATTACTCAGAAGAATAAGTGTTAAGCTCGTTTTGTACAAACATGCAAGTGCAATAATGGTGTCATGGCATGTTCTTCTATTTCTAGCAAAGCAATACAGCTGTATTTATTATATGGGGAAAGTGTTGATTGTTAAGTCACTGCTCTTGTTCATTATATATTTTGGTATCTGAAGGGATATGCCTCTTTAAAGTGGCTGTAAACTGTATAATTTGTTACTGTGTTTATTTCACTTATATCAGATATCTAAAAAAAAGAAACTCAATGTGTCATTCTGGTTTCTGTGGCATTTAGGACTGGGGAGCAAATGACTCCCCCCTCCAAGCCTGGTCCATGATGAGGATTATCCCCCAGAAATGCTGGCTCTCATTTTACACAGCAGATTACCTCACTTTTTATTAATTTTTACTAATTACACTTTTACTAATTACAGTACTCTGCTCCAACTCCATTTCATGTATAGTGGGGAAGGATGATAGACAATGATAAAGATATAGTAGAAAATGCTAAATGCATAAATGACCTTAAGATATAAAAAACATGTGTATCACACACATATGATATTTGTGGTTTCCTCAGCTTCACAAGAAGTATTTATGACCTAACTGCCCAAGAAGCAGTCCTTTTGAAATATAGTATACGAAAGGGGAAGAACGGATTTAGGAGAGGAAGACTGTCGAATTGGAAAGAGCATTTGAAGATGTGTTCAATAAAGAATGCAGTATTTACAAATTTATATTCTGTTCTGGCAACACCTAATATGGCCCTTAACTGAACCAAATGAACAAAGAATATCTGGAAAGGAGGCCAGATATGTTGAGAGAGATATGTTGAGAAGAGAGAATCAAAGAGAGCTCACTCTGACTGTTCACCTGCATGTTACATGACCATTACATGTCTCCAGAGGTCACAACTATTCAAACAAGAATTGGCCAAGCCAATCACCCTCACCTGCCAGGAATAGCCAGTAAAATCATTAGTATTTCCAATACTTCTTTGCATCTTTGTGTTTCTTGGAATAGTTTATTGCTGGTGTGGAAAACATCTGAAAATAAGACAAGAACTAAACCAATCTGCATACTGTACCTATTCTGTTGCATCAGTGCCCATTAGGAGTAATTGTAAAGAATAAAAATTTCATCTAAAACATAATGCCCCCCTCATACTGTATATTGTTCCAAAAAAATTAAATTTCACCTCAAGATGCTTAGATCAATCACTGCCAACAAGAGTGCACTTTGACTAAAGTAAAGTAAAAGCTCTTCTAAAGAAGAAGGTTTTGAGTCTGGATTTGAAGGAGTTTAGAGAAGGTGTCTTTGATATCCTTGGGCAGAGAGTTCCAGAGCTTGGGGGCATAACAGGAGAAGGCGTCACCCATACAATGTAGACTGGCTTGGGGGACAGTTAGGAGACCAGAATTAGAAGAGCGAAGGTTGCGAGGTGGGGAGTAGGGCGATAATAGTTCAGACAGGTACTGAGGTGCCAAGCCATGCAGAGCCTTATACAATAGGTGAGCATGAGGATTTTAAAGTCCACATGGAATTTGACAGGAAGGCAGTGCAAGGACTCCAGGACAGGAGTAATGTGATCACTTGCACTAGACCTGGTCAGGATTCTAGCTGCTGAATTTTGGACATACTGCAGTTTGTTCAAAGTAGATTTAGATCCCCAAGAGAGTAGAGCATTACAGTTGTCAATGCGAGAGAACACAAATGTGTTGATCAGCTTTTCAGCCATGGTCATAGTGATAACAGAGGGCGTAGTTTAGCGATATTTCTGAGGTGAAAAAATATGTTTTGACAATATGCTGCACAAGTGGGTCGAATCCTTCCCAAACACTTCTAAAACATCTAAATACATCGCGAAAGTTCTTTAAAAAACACATTTACAAAATACAGCAGCATGCAACGGGTAGTTTATTTTGCTCTTTGGAAACACTCTTCTTAATGCGAGCAGATGTGGTCTCTATCCAGAACGAGGCGAACTGCGCGCCAGCATGGCTTCACTTGTCTTCCGCCGCGGGATGGAGGAATGATGTTTTTCGATGCTGGCACAGCTGTGCAAAGAACTAGCCACCTCACGGGTCACGTGGGCCGCTGGAATGCAGCACCTCTCTCTCCGGCCAACAGACCGCTGGAATGTGATTGAGGGGCCGTCTGGCCAATCAGCGTTGGGGAATGCGGACGACGCACCAATGGTTGAGCAGTGGGGGCGAGGTCATAACACAACAGTCTTCTTTGGAAGAGACTTGAAAAACTGGGATGAGGAGAAAAAAAAAGAGGAAAAAAGCGTCGGATGAAGTGGGAGCACGGATTCGGTGAATGGCAGTGCCCAGCTTAGAAGAAACGAAGAAAAAGCTGATGCAAATGGTGAGCGAGAAGTACTCGTTTTATCGTGATGATCACTTATTTGATGTCTAAAGGCAAAAAATAATGTTATTGGAAAAGTTAACTTATTCTTCAGTTCAAATCCTTCCAATTTTTTTGTCTTCTTGAAAAACAAAATTACACTTTGCCGTTTGATTTTACTCTATGATCTGCCAGGTTGTTTTTCATACAGTAGGTGATTTTTTAAAGTGTGTTAAACGCGCAGAAATTACAGCATATCCGTTACTTTCGAAAGTCCCAGATGTAAAGTTTCATTGATTAATAAAATCACGACGGAAAAGGCAAAGCCTGCAGTAAGGTGCGCTAGAGAAGTCTGGCTGTTTCATCTCGAGTTGGTGCACAACTTCGCGAGTAGTTTAAAAAGCAAGCGGGGGTCATACAGTAGTTGTGGGATTTTCTAAAACAAGCTAAACAATCCTATATCACATTAAACCTACCAGTTATCAAACTGCTTTCTGTTTTGTTACCTGTCGACCTGAATAAACTTTCCAAAGCGCCTGCACCATTAGGATAACAGTAGATTTTGTCTTGTTTTCTTGAAAATGTTTGGTCATATTTGAGAAGCGATGTAATCCTCAGAGTATCAATTCACCTATTCAAGTGCATGGCGACTAACCAACAATACAACTGCGCGTTGTTCTTTTATGAATAACGCACTATTACAACCGATCATCATAGCTGTGTAGTAATTTCTGTCGTTGTGAATCATTATAGCTTTTACTGTGTCTGAGTTATCTGTATAAAAATGAGTGTTTTGATAACCGGAGCTTCGTGCCGATGATCCCACATTAGTTCAGGAAATGTTTTCCAGTTGTCACAGTTTTGTAGGAGGTAGTTGGGTGCTGTTTCTGCAGGGCATGGGCGTTGTTAAAGAGCAGGTCTCAAGCTCAGCTCTTGCAGGGCTTCATGTCTTCTTCATGTCTTTTCGTCGCATCCTGGGTAGTCAATTAAACGGGTGAATTAAGCATTTTCTTAGGTAGACCTATAGGATTTTTTATGGGTCTTTTACAGTTGATTAAAAACTTAAACTTTGTTCAAGGTTACCTCATCCAATACCTCAGAGTCTGATGACATGCAGCAGGAATTGCATTTATATAAGCAATCCATCTATGTAATGTAACACAATGGGTTTGTGGGCCCTGTAAGAGTATCTGTCAGAGTGGCAAACCCCAGACAAACAGTCTGAAACACAAGGGGTAATGGACAAGCTGTCTATGTGTCACACAAGAGGTAATGAATATCCATGTGTCAAATGCTCATACAGTGTTCAGAAAATTGACAAAGAATGATTTTCCAGTAAAGCTAAGTTAATGTCTTAACGGTTAAAAAGCTGTCTGACGTTGCAGATTCACTCAAGGTGGTGTGGACTGGTCAACAGTGGTTGCAGTGAGTAGTGCTGTTGCTTCACAGCTCCAGGGTCTTGGGTTGCAATCCAGCACAGTCTGTTGGACTTTGCATGTTCTCTCTGTGCTTGCATGGGTTTTACTCCAGGTACTCTGGTTTCTTCTCACAGATGATAAACGTGCTGTCCAGGTTAACTAGCATGTCTGCATTGTCCTCCAGTATTTGTGCTATGCGATGGATTGGCATCGCATCCAGGGTGAAGTTTCTCCATGTACCCCATGCCTGCCAGGGTAACCTCTGCCTCTTTCTCACCCTCTAAGGGTAAAGGGTTTCTAAAAATGTAAGGATGGAGATACTAATAACCAACTATCTCTGTGACAATTTTAAAAGCAGATTACAAAGGGGACAGAAGAATATTTAATTGTCTTTTATTGCCTGTAAAAGACAAATATGCTGTGAAATATGATTATATATTTTTGTTTTACGTCTCTAACCTCATGCAGCAGAGCGTTCTTCAGTACCTTTTGAAAGATGAATTTGCACTCAAGATGTTTATCAAGGAAAAGGGCCCAGATGTTTGTGGAACATTGTGGTGCAGATGTGGTTCACACTGTAGCAATACTTTAGAACATACATGTAACAGAATTCTGTTAACATAGTCCATTAGAACTTCCCAGATTGATCTAATCTCTAAAAAATAGGTTTCATTTGACTGCAGTAAAATAAGGAGGTTTTAAGAAGAAAAAAAAAACAGATTTAAAGGCTGTATGATGTGTGCAGGTTATTGTCCTGAACAAACAGTATGTTCTTCAAGAGTTGTCAAGGTTTGCCAGATGACCTTACAGATACACTTTCATCCCTGAACATGAGCAGCATGTTGTTCTTCATAAGGTGTTTTCTTGTCAGGACAACCCAGCGATTTAAGAGTTCAAATCTAAGATTCACATAAACATAAACACCGTGATTAATAAACACTTCATCTTATGAACATCGACTCTTTGGTCAACGCGATAGGAAGTATTTAAGAAAAAAAGGCACCAGTTTGAAGAAAATGATATGTGTTATACCCGTGATTCAGCACAAACGAATCCCCCCAGTCAACTCCAATGTAAGGATTTTGATTCAGTTTTGCTACAATGGGACACCTGACTTCGAGAGGCAGTATATATCAACTGCTGGGGCTCAAAAACTATCTGATGGTAAAGACTATGTATCAGTAAGTTTAGTAGAAAATATAGAATGAAGTACTGAATATGACGATTCAAGTTCAAGAGCTGTGAACCTCTTATTGGGGTGTTGCCAAGCAAATGGACAAGGATAAAATATTATCACCTTGATTCAAGGTTGCATATGCATCAGACATTTATTTTTTAGTATTTTTAGTTCTAAGTTTGATTAATCTTGGGACCAGTTAAATGCAGAACTTAAGATGGCATGCAAAGAAGGTTACCAACAAGACAAGGCCGTTTGTCTAAAATTTTCCAGTTTGGTTGGTAGTAGCCTGGTGTTTTATGAATTTTGTGAATCTTTTTTAGAGGATCCCAAGATGTTGGCATCAATACGTGTTCTGGACGTTGCTTCCAGATTCCCACATTCGACAGTGTAAAAAATGCCTTTTGTTTTCTGTCATGAATGGCCAAAATCTCAATTTCATCGTGTGTAACGAGGGTCTTTGTGTTTCTCAGGGGGCAAAAATCCCCCTGACTTTGTCAAGGCCTTTCGAGATTTTGAATACATCTGTCAAGTCCTGACAATCATCTCCGCTCTGGGTTAAAAAAGATTCAGTTCATTTAGTCTATAGAAGTATGACATTCACTTCAGATCAGAAATAAGACTCTCTGGTCTCTTTTGTACTGCCTCTGGAGTAGCGATCTTGTTGCATGGTGACAGAAACTGACCACAATATTCCAGGAGGGGTTTGCTTGATATATCATGTAGTTTTAAGATGACTCTGCTCATAAAACCAAAGCACATAGTTAATTTTTATGTCTTTCCTGTGCTGTCTTTTTGAAGTAGCGAGTCTTTGAATCTGGACTGACGGTACCCATAGCAAATTTGTGGACTTTCATTTATGCTTTTATAGTCACCCTTAATATTATTTGTAATACATTTTTGACTTCAGTTTGATTTTATTTTCATTTTGTTAGGTTGCTTATTGAGAGGGGATTTCTTGAAAAGGGGTCTCATAGGAAGAAAAGGTTAAGAACTCTTAGAAATTGCTAATTGTCTTGCTCTGACATGGCTTAGAACTCTTCTGGGGTTGTTGTTTGGGGTTTTGTGTGTTTTTCAATGATGAAGTTCGCCCTATGCTGTAAAGAACAGACTCAATCAGTGCTATTAGTGTGCTGTAATTAGCTACGGTTGGCTTTTCAAAGGAAAATCCGTTCAGCACAGTGAACTCTTTGATCTTTGCTTGTTGGGTGCCGTGCTTGTCCAGTTCGGTTTACATCACTGTTTGAAAACTGGTAGGCAGAGTGTTACTTGCATATGTTAATTTGCTCAGCAAACATCTGACCTACTTGATTCAGATGGGAAAAAGTGGTCGGATACAGATTTATATAAAGAAGATCTATACAGTAACTGTATAGTATAGACCTATTGTTTTTATATTTTGTATTAATGTGCTTAGAAATCTATACAATTTTTACAAACTAGCCATAATGCAGTTTTCAATTTTATTAACTATAAATAACTTAATTTTCAGCTAAATGACCTTGTGCCTAGATCATTCATTAAAGTAGACCTATAATCGATCATTCATCATAATGGTAATGAGAATTTGGTGTTTACATTTTCTGATATTTAGTCCTTCAGGACTGTTTCAAACACTAAAGCTGGTGGCAGTGAAGTTGTGTGTTTGTTGACATTCACAGTTATGCCTAAAGTTTTGCAGGCAACAAAGTCGAAACACAGATAAACCTTGATGAAATTGCAAAAGCCAGAAGTTCCAAGAAAAAGCAAAGTGTCTATTTTCTTGCTGTGAAATTATCGTTTACCGTGGAAATCTTGTTGTGATGGCATGGCATTGCTGTTGAGCTGTCTCTCAAGTGATGCTTTGAAAGGGGACCGATGGTGTACTGTATAACTATCTGCAATGGGTTTGAAAGTAGTATAACTAGATAATATCAACAGCATCTCTTACTGTACGTATTACTGTATATTATCTTAATACTTGTGTTGATTAACTTCTCTTTCGTTATTTCTGCATTTATTTTCTATAAAAACCCGTTTCAAAGCCTTTTTTCTCAGACACAGACATGATCTGTTATTAGTGCTTTTAGATTAAATTATTAGCATGTAGCACATGTCAAAACAAACGAGCGATCTACTTCTTAAAATCCATTTAATGAAGAGATTACTCAGATTATTGATAATTTGCAAAGCAACTATCCAAAACTTTTTGTGATTACTGTGAGCTATTTTGTATTTTGGCAGTTTTTAGATCAAATAAGTAATTCTTGTTGTGTTCCTGAAAGCCCTCAATGTAGGGTGGTACAGTAGGTAAGCTGAAGACCCTTTTAGAAAAATAGGGTTAGGGGAACTGAAGTCAAAGTTTACCCTGTTAAAATCTCTCAGATATTTGTTTTTACCTACAGTAGAGTGACAAATAGAGTAAAACAATAACAAAGAAAACACTA